ACTAGGTTCCTGTCACATTGGTATATTAAAGACTGAGGCCTTACATGAAAGAAACCTCTTTCACTTTCTTAAACAAGTATCCTAGAGTTTGGCTGAGTATGTATCACTTCTTTCTTTTTTTTCAGCTTGCCTCTTAATATACTTTGGAAAGCATCTTGGAACACAAATTTTTGCAGCATTTTTTTCATCTATCAGCAACTTGTCCATGAGCCAAGATATAGGAGGGTAGCATAAACCTAGTGCTGTGAGTTTTTATAAAGTCTGTATTCTAACAGCTCTGGGAGAATCAGATCTGAAGCTGTCTCTAGACAGATCAGATTTCTAGCTAAAACTACATCCTGAAAGAGAGCTATGTCATAGTTCTTTGTTAAATTCCTGATAGCTGCCTCCTCCCGAAGCAAATAAGAAGGAAATTGTCATTCTTAATGCCAGTGTCGTGGTTTTCTGTCACAAACCAGTAGTGACATTGAGGAATCACTGAGCCATATTTCTAATTACAGTACTACTCGAGAGAACAGATCAGTATTAATTATCCCAAAGCAAAATTGATTTTTGGCTGGTATTCTCTAGTTTTCAAGTGAATAACACAAAACAACTCTAGCTAACACTTCACTTTACTCAGTTACCTATGGGTACATTTTGTAGCTAATTCATCCTATTCATCAGGAGCCAGTGCCAGTGTAGCTCAAAACTAGTGCCACAGGAAATTTTTTACTGTTAAAATATTTCATGTTTACATTTTCTGTGCCACATTCTTTGATATCAAATGCTGTTGTTGTTTTCAGTCTAATTCAACATAATCAACTAGACACATAAAGGGAGCTTTGTAAAAATGTACAGTGCTGAATAGAAAATAGCCCCTACCTATAAGAAAGAATATTGTAATTGCACAATTAAATAGGTTCGACAAAATATAAAGAGGATTCTTAGTCATCATCAAGATAAGGCAGATTTAAAAATAAATTGTAATTTTCATGTATCAGATTGGCAAAGATGTAAAAAGATTATAATACCTAGTGCTTCAGAGAATATGGGTAAAAAAGAGCTTATGAGAATTTAAGTCAATACAAACATTTTGGAAAACAACTTGTCAATATTTACATTCATTATTTTTTTCTTAAAAGCTCATACTTTTTGGTCCAGCAATTCCAATTCTAAGAATTCATCCTAGGGTTACCTCACACAAAAGTTCAAAGACTTATGTGAAAGGATACTCATGATAGCTTGGTAATATTTGAGAGAGAAAAGGGGAGGAAGAAGGGGGGAGAGAGAGAGAGAGAGAGGGGCAGAGAGAACTAAAGGTCCATCATTTGGGGACCAGTCAAATTATGAAGATACCAAGTAGCCATTTAAAAAACAGAGTAGATCCTTGCAGACTGATATCAAAGCTATATCACTAAGTGAAAACTGCAAGTGGAAGATCAATAGGTATACTGTGATGTAGTTTGTGTAAAAGTAGAGGAAGAGAAGGAGGGAGATGTGTGTTTAACTGTGTGTTTTTACATTTTACTGGCTCAGGAGGAGAGGCGTGAATCTGAAGCTGGCTCTGTTCAGTGCCATAGACATCAAGGTGCTGGACCTTCCATGTCACCTCAGTACCATCGATGTTCTGTGTCACTCTCTAACCCGGGGAACTCACACATGTCCTAGGGCATTCAAAAGGTCAGGATAGGTCCCTCTTAGGGCACATATTCTCTCCTCCTGGATTTTGGAAGGTGGGATACCATGGAAAGGAAAACTAACAGTTGTATTGGTCTTAGTTGAATGAAGACTGGGTGTCAACAGGGGCTGGAGGTGACCAGCAGTGCTCATAGTGTTAGAGGATGGTGTCTGTGATGCCGACTCTACTCTCCAAGGATTTTCCTTAATCAGGCCCCTTTCCCTGACCCAAAAGACCATGCTCCCTTACTGAGTAGTCATGATCTTCCCATCATCCCAGCCCAGGGAACCCTATCCAGTCCTCCCAGTGAGCAAGATTCACTCTTCGTCACCGTGTTTTTTTTTCCCCGAAACTGTTTCTGTTCCTGTGTAAATAGACCCTGCCTTTCTTCTGAGGACTGGTCTTTTGAAACTCATTAAATCAAGAAGCAAATTTGGTTGGTTGATTGGTTTTCTTAACCTGTGGTCTCTAATGTTATCCCTCCACTGAGGCAAGTTTTGTAAAATGCCTACTTGGTTGAATGGGTAAGAGCCCAAGTATGAGAAAACGCCAGGAACCAAAGGCGTATCAGTTCTATCTAGAAATATCTGAAGTAAGAAATTTGCTTTTCTCTGAAAAAGGGGATGATGTGGCTCTTTCATTTTTCATTTTCTACCTTTCTGTACTGTTTATTATTTTTATGATGAGCATGAGTAATATTTATATTAAAATGCATTCGTAAATTTAAAGCATTACTTCTTAGAATCAATTTATAAAAGTGGCTACTAAAATACTTTTAATTGCATTACTGGAAACTAGTAAGCATCACAGTCAGAAAAAAAAATTGCTTAAATACTCTGGAAATCCTAAAATTAATCAAGCAACATTGGCAACTACGTAACTACACCTATATATAAACCTGGTAGAAGTAGAAGATTAAAAAACAAACAAATGAAACACATATGAATAGCTCCCATGCTTTCAACGTTTGGTCTGCATAGACTCAAGAAATCTACTTTTCAGTTCTAATTCCATATTCTTTCCTGACCCTTTCCTGTTCTCTTTAATCATAGTGACAAATGAGTCACAATACTTTTTAATCAGAGTTTCCTGTATCAGTTACAGTTCTTTGCTTCCGTTTTAAGCAACTGAAATTGATTCTTGATAACCTGATTACTTTACTGGAAATACAGTGAAGAAGATACTTAATTGGAAGGATACTAGTGGCTCATAGAATTGAGGGACTGGGAGGGAAAACCTGAATATCCAAGCTTTTAGTAAAAAGAGGAACCCAAATAACTCCACTCCATCCATGATTCAAATTCCCAGGAGAATCTAATTGGTCAAGTCTAGGTCATGAACCTCTCACTGTGCTGAGACAGGGAGAAGAGAGATGGGGAGGACAGGATATGTGAAATGGGGAAGGAAGACTTCCCCCAGGGAAGAGTGAAGTTCTCTTACCTCCACAGGGGAAAGGGATGCTACACTGCACAGGTGGAGTGATGGCTCTTCATTTTCTCCATTTTTTAAAAGTAGACTTAATTGAGGAATTTTATTACTTCCTTTTAATATTTTCTTTTATTATATCCTCTCCTGCCCCATTACTGCTTCAAAACACATTTCAAGTAGAATCAGAATTGATATTTTAAAACAAATTAATGCAAGTTTTAAAGATATAAATTCTCTTTTAAAAAGTGATGAGTAACCCACTGAATGTGAAGATGTCTCACAGTAGCCTATTTTGAAATTTTTCTTTCATGTTTAGGCCACTTATCATGGAATTTAAATTGAACACTTGGTGATACATCAAATTTTTAGTTTCTAATCTTAGAACTCTGTGTGGGATCAGTTTTCACAGAAAGTTCATCACTATTTTACAGTAGTATAATGTAGATTAATGTACCCGACACTTCTAAAATTCTAACCCCACAGTAGTAATGTGTGAATTTAAGTATGCCATTAAGAAAAAAAAATTGTTAACCTCATTCATTAAAATCATCCATTCGTTCAAATTTAATGTTTCCCAAGCCATATCAGCCTGAAGGTAAAAATAGGTCATAAGAACTGTCAAAAATAACACAAAAATATTTCTACAGCTTTAGTCTGTCTGATTAACAGAAACTAGCATCCCTGGCTTCCCCAAATTTTATTTCAAGTTCTCTCAAAGGTATTTTACCTGTGAGCTCTGTTAACTCACCCTGCTCATCCTTGCTAGCACAAGAAATAGCCCTTTGTAGATACTGCGAGTGAGACTCACCTGGCTGCCTTGGACAGCAGCTCTTTCCGTTTTTATTTACTCCTTTTCCTCCTTTTTATAGTTTCTTCCTTCTAGGCCAGTGATTCCAGTGGTTCTCAAGAAAAGGTGATTTTGTCCCTCAGGGGACATAATGTCTGGATTCATTACTGTTTTGCATGCCTAGAAAAGAAGAATGCTACTGGCATCTAGAGGGTAAATCCAGGGATGCTGCTAAACATTGTATAATGAACGGGACAGCCCCTGCAACAACGAATTATCTGATCCCAAACTGTTAAAAACCCTTTTTAAGGCACAGACCTCGGTCTCAGAGAGGTAGCTTAGGGGACAGTTTGAGTAACAAACATGTTCTGTCCTCAAAAGTCAACAGTCCTTTGATGTTCTTACACCAAAGATACTCCTCGTCTCTGACTTCACTTAGGATGATGTTCTTTTCCCTGAAGTCTCTTAAGCCCGTCACAGGAATTGATCCCTGACACATGGAGAACCACACACTGCAGTCTTCCTGACAAACCCAAACATGCCTGAATACCAGAGGAGGCCCAGTTGAAGTTCCTGCTTAATATTGCTGAAGTTCCTTGCAATATTAAAGATAGGATTGCCTCCTCTGTGAAGAATGTAACGATCATTTGGGGCATTGAACAAGAGATGGTGCCTCTGTCATAGCTGTTGTTTTCTGTTGCCAGCATCTCTCTCTGACCTCATCCTCCTTCTGATAACAGATTGGGGAATGGATCTCAGGTCAGACAGACAATAGACCTTTCCCAGGATGTTTTACTTCTTTTTTTTTTTTTTTTTTACTTTATTAAAATACTGAGTTTTATTTCACATGTATATTTTTGTCTCCCCACCATTTCCATGTCTGACCACCGCTACTACTATGTCCTATCATAACATTCCATACATACTTAAAACCAAGCAAAGGGCGGAGTTCCATCTTTAAATACTAAACAGGCATTTTGGACAACACATTCTTGGCAATGGAACCTGGACAACATTTATCAAACACGGTAGGGAAAGTTCTCACTCTGCATTATAAAAAGGACAGCCAGATATCAACTGTTACAGAAATGAAGTAAGACAGAAAATTTTTAACAAATTGTTTAAACTATTTTCTTAAAGAGACTTCCTCCACTGCCAGAGATCTTGAATAGCCTCTTGGTCTTAAGGTTGAAGTGTGGTTCAGGGCCAGTGCATATTAGTGGACAGCACATAGTAGCTGTGGAGGAAGATGCAGAGTCAGAAGATGAAGAGGAGGAGGATGTGAAACTCTTAAGTATATCTGGAAAGCGGTCTGCCCCTGGAGGTGGTAGCAAGGTTCCACAGAAAAAAGTAAAACTTGCTGCTGATGAAGATGATGATGATGATGATGAAGATGATGATGATGATGATGATTTTGATGATGAGGACGCTGAAGAAAAAGCACCAGTGAAGAAATCTGTACGAGATACTCCAGCCAAAAATGCACAAAGGTCAAATCAGAATGGAAAAGACTCAAAACCATCATCAACACCAAGATCAAAAGGACAAGAATCCTTCAAAAAACAGGAAAAAACTCCTAAAACACCAAAAGGACCTAGTTCTGTAGAAGATATTAAAGCAGGATGTTTTACTTCTAAACCTAAGCTGAGTAAAGAGAATCTCTTTTCTGGTCTGAGAACTACAGGGTATGAGTCTCCAGGGGAACCATTTTGTGACAGTGAGGCTATCATGCAGAGAGCAGCATGAAGGATGGAAAGCAAGGAGAAAAGAGGAAGTGACAAGGAGGAAGTAATAGTGCTTGCATCCTAGGTTATCCTAAGTCCAGCTCCACTGCATACTTCCCGGCATTTAATTTTGTGTGCAATAAATTTCTCATTTTCTGTTTAAGTTTAGTTAATTTGGGTTTTACCATTTCCAACATAAGAATCTTGGCTAATAGGCCTTTCTTCAGAATCCTTGCAATTTAATAAGGCAGATAAAACAGCATGTGAAAAGTGCTTATATAAAGTGTACATAGGGTTTTCCTAAGTTTCTTGTTATGTTTTTGACTCTAGAAAGGATTCAGGGTTGTTCCTATTACAGTAGTTTATTAGGTTGTATATTTGTGTTTTATACATTTTTTCATAGGTTGATTATATTTCACCACACATTATTTTAGATGGAAAAACAGTTCCTTTATGATGAGCACCAAAAAATAGCACTATAAACATGTATAGGAAGGAAAGAATAAATAGTATATAATCTGGGTCATAAATCATATGTTTTAGTTAAATAACTAATAAGGGTTAGTTAAATAACTAAATAAGGGTAGAGGAGGAAAAAACATTTCTTCTATTCTCTTATGTTTTCACTGGGGCCTTTAAATTAAATGGACAAAATACAGATTAACAGGAGAAGAGGCATACAAACACTTTTGTGTTAACATTCTAATTTTTGTGTATATAGAAGGCTTCATAGAAAAGAATGGAAGAACCAATGAAGCAGTTTGACCCAAGGACTCATGTACCATTTTAACAGAGGGTGATAAATTATGAGAAAGTGACAAGACAAAGAAATATAGTTTTGAGCTTCAAGAGACAGTAAATTGTGGGATGGTAATATGCAAGGGAAACTACTGGAAAGTAAGGGTTACTTTAGTAAGGTTTGTTCATACAGACTCATCTTGGTGCTGACTTTTGTTAAAGCTAACTAAATATGTCCTGAGAAAGACTCTGTACTTCTATATTTGAGTCCTTGTGGATGAACTGCGACCTAACTTAATAGGTAGACAAGATTGAAAACCTAACTTAGGAGTATGTGCCTGTAACAATAGCTGAGTCTTGGCCAGTCCCAGCAGCCATTTTCAACCACTCATACACTGCTGAGTGTTCAAACTGTGTTCAAATAAAGCATATGCCAACCTGTAACCAATCCAGCTGTTTCTGTACCTCATTTCTGATTCCTGTGCGTCCCTCTACTTTTTTGTCTATAAATCTGTTCTGACCACAAGGCACCTCTGGAGTCTCTCTGAATCTGCGGTGATTCTGGAGGCTGCACAATTTGTGAATCATTCATTGCTCAATTAAACTCCTTTTAATTTAATTCAGCTGAAGTTTTTCTTTTAACACTTTCTGTCTCTAATGATAATGGTTGATCTCTTTCTTTTTGGGGAAAGGAAAGGGGAACACCTTTACAAAGGGAAATTTATGTCCTGCTTTTAAGCCGATGGGGGAGGGCAAAGAGTTTTTTCTGTGTTTTCTGCTTTTAATTGCCTTAAGCTCAAAATAATCCTTATGCCAAAGTGGCATAGTCTGGGGTGGCACATTCTAACTTTTTTCATAGGTGAACATGGACTCCTATATACATAGTACTTTTTCAATTACAGAACATTATTAATTCTCAATCTTAATACAATTCTGAGTATTATCCATTCTTTTTTTCTTCATGAATAGAACCTTATCAATTTATTGAATTTGCCAGTAAATTAATTGCAGAAATTAATTGGCTGAAATCCAGCTTTTTATCTCCCAAGATCAGTGCTCTTTCCTCTAACTCAGAGCTGCTTCTAAGTTGAGGAGGGAATCACAAAGAAGACAGCCACACCATTCCTTCTACTGAGCTCTTGGGCACCTGGCTTGTGTTGCTATCATCTGTTGCCATATTTTACTGAACTTTTGTGTTCATATGTCAGTGTCTTTCATTAGGTTGTGAGATCTGCAATAGCATAGCCATTGCCTTGCCCATTTGGAGGGTCTTATCCTTTTTTGTGCCTTTTACCATGCCCAGAACAGCTATTAGAAAACAGCAACCACTCAGTAAATATTTGTTGGATGGTGGGTAGTGAGTGGATATGAGTTAAGAAGCAGGAAGATACAAAACAGCTGTAGGTACCATTGAGATTGAATTATAAATTTCAGTAGAAGAATTTGGAGAAATACCTTCAGAAAAAGAAGCTGGGGCAAAATAATGGGAAGCTGTAAATGCTAATCCAAAGTATTCATACTTAAGTCAGGAGGCACAAGTGATGCTTGTTGTTTCTCTTTAGGAGGGTTGGCCTTCTTAATGGGTTGGAGGAAGGGTCATTGAAATTGTCCAGGAATGCTGGGCTCAATGGTATGTGCCTATAGTCCTAGCTACTCGGAGACTGAGGTGGGAGGATGGCTTGAGCCCAGGGTTTCTGGGTTGTAGTGTGCTACGCAGATTGGGTGTCTGCACTAAGTTCAGCATCAATATGGTCACCTCCTGGGAACAGGGAACCACCAGGTTGCCTAGGAGGGGTGAACCGGCCCAGGTCAGAAATGGAACAGGTAAAAACTCCCATGCGGATCAGTTGTGGGATCGCATCTATAAGTAGCCACTGCACTCCAGCCTGGGCAACACAGTGAGACCCTGTCTCCAAAAAAACAATAAAAGAAAAAGAAATTGTCCAGGATTTAAGTGCTAGGAACATGGCATACAGTGAGGGCCACGGAAATGGAAAGGAGAGGAACAGTGTTGCGGCTATGCCCAGCTAAATCCCCTTCTCCCTCATGACAATGAAGGGTGACTTGTCTGGGGATCTGCTAAAAGGGCAATAGTGCAGGGAGGTAGACAAAGCATAATCTGTTTGGTAAAGCTACGTTTCAAATGCCAGCAACATCAAATGCAATTACTAAGACCAAAGGAGCAGAGGCAGAATTATAGTTAAGGCTTCAGAGCCAATGATGTGGAGCCCACTAGATAAAAAGTCAAAGTTAAACAAGAACTTAACAAGTACAGAGGATTTTTGGTATTGGTCAATAGTGATACCATTTTGTATTAGTTTCCTGTCATAACAAATTATCTCAAATACAGAGTCTTGAAACAAGACAAATACAAATGTATTATATTAAAGTTCTGTAGTTAGAAATCCATCATGGGTCTCACTGGGCTAATATCAGGATGTCAGCCAGGTTCATTTTCTTTGGGATGGCTCTAGTGACCCTGTTTCTGTGCTCTCTGCCAGCTTCTAGAGGTCATCCACACTTTTTGCTTGTGGGTTACCCCTCTTTCTTCAAAGCCAGAATCATTAGGCTAAATCCTTCTCATGCTGCCATTTATCTGTTCTCCCTTTTCTGCCTCTCTCTTCCACTTTTAAGGACCCTTCTCATTACATTGAATCCGCTGGATAATCCAGGATAACCTCTCTACTTTAAAGCCAGCTGATTTACAACATTAATTCCATCTGCAGCCTTAATTCTCCTTTGTCAGGTAATATAATCTATCCATAGACTTTAAGAATTAGGACATGGACATCTGCCTACTACACCCTTCCCACATGATGGAGGCGACAGTGCCAGCCTGGCTTGCAGGAGGAGAGCCCTAGTTATTGAGGTGCACAAACATTAAGGGAAAGCCTGGCAATATTCTGACCCAGGCCACTCTCAGAATCATTACTTTCTTTCAAAATTTTTCTCCGACTATGAACAGTTAACTCTCATGTTCTTAAGATAATTTCTTATTCATGAAAGTAAAGCTCACCTAGTCTCCCTACCAACCCATCTAGACTGCAGGGTGCTGCAGCCTGCTGGCACCACTTGCAAAAAGTTATTGGTAAAATTTCAGGAATTTGGCAATGTCACATTGACATCAGTCAAGGCAGGACTGTTTACACCATGAAAATGAGCAAACACTAAAATTAGGGCTTTTCCCCTGACAGCCAGGTATTAAATATGTGCCAGCAAACCACTTGGTATGTGTGAGTTTAAAGTGAGTGCTGCCAACAATCAAGCTGGGACCTACATTACGTTTCAAAGACAGTGACTGGTTATTGCAGTTAGTCTGGGTATCCCAGACAAATGCCAATACCAGATAGACCATAATTTGTCTAATTAGCCTCTCTCTTCAGTAGGATATGCAGAATTTGGTTTATTAGTTGCTGGGGTGTTGCCAAGGTTAATTGGAGTTATGATATACCTAAACTGGACAGTAGTCTCAAAAGGCTATACCTCATTAGTAGTTCTTTCTAATCTTAGCAAGATTATAGATAGCCACAAATTCCATGCTTGATAAGAGTTCAGGCACTTCAGAGCTGGTTCAGAAAGTGGTGACTTAGCAGAAACAGACAAAAATCAAACGTTGAAATAATTTTGCATCTATATTCATTCAGACAACAAAAAATTGTGAGCTTCTCCTAAGAATACAAATACCACAGTAAAACTGACAGTTACGGTTTCTTCTCCCACAGGGCTTACAGGCTACCTTGGTGAGAAGGGTGTACGTGCAGGTAGTAGGGAGAGGAGCAGACAGACAAACAAGCAGCAATTACAATGCAGAGGAACTGGATCATGGAAGTAGTTAGGAGGGTCTCCTCACTGAGATTTCCCAGGTCAGGCAAGGAGTCCTGGATAAAGTGACATATAAACAGAGTCCAATAAGTAGTAATAATAATAATAGCTAATACTTATTGAGTACCTTATATGTTTCAGTTTAAGTCCTAAGCATATTTTCTTTCATTTGGTTTTTCTAACACCCATGGAGCAAATATTATTAGTATTATCCCTATTTTACATAAGAGGAAACTGACGCATAGCTAAGTTAACTCACCCCAAGTCTCACAGCCAGGGGAAGAGCTGAGAGAGTAGGAGTTTGCCATTTTAAGGGATAATGGAGAAAAGAGTATTCCAGTAAAGGGAGAAACACAGGAAAAATCACAATGGGTCCTAGGAAAAGAGGAAACTTATTGACTAAAGATGCAAGGGGAGAGTAATGAAATATGGAAGCTACAGAGAAAGCACGAACTGAGAAGC